ATCAGCCTCAGAACGTCATAAAAATAAATGCTTCGTTAAAAATTCTAATAAATTATTCTTTACCCTTTGACAGTTTCATTTCCTGCAGTTTTGTCGTCACGTATGTGCCGTCAAAGTATAATGCAATTGTAGCGCTTCTCGTAAAATTTTCATTTCGCACAAATTATATTATGGGTTTCTTTAGTTGTTTGTAAGTCAATCAAAGTTCTCAGTTCCGATACTTGACTGAAATTGAGTTTGCTATCGACACATTAATTAAGCTGTTCGAAATTTCGTAAATTTTAGATTTTGTTTGTCGGTGGGTAAATTTGCCGTTGCGTTTTCATTTAGTGGTAGTGCCCGGGAACCTTTCGCGGTTATGACAATGGTAATCGTCGTGCGATCTGTCATCCGCGAATTAGAGCTCTGGAACCCAAGACATTTGTATTGTGCAGGCATTGATCAATGATTGAGTACGAGAAGTGTATACTATTGATTGCATAAGGAGGATACGTCGGTTTGGCGCTTGTATAGTTAATGAGTAGCGTCGGATGCGTATTGGGGCAAGAATAAAGACTTGCGGTTGCGAATGGGGGTCCCGTGAGGTTTTTGGATGGGTTGGCGTTGGCGGCGTTTTTGCTGTCGGCTCATTTATCGAATTAAAGAGGCGCCGCCAGTGTCCAAATGGGGGAGACGTCGTGGGGGATTAAATGAGCCGGGGCCCAACAGCGGCCACCTGCGGCCACAGTGGTTTTATAGCCTCACGCGCGCTACACCTGATGACTCGAGCGTCGAGGTAGACAACTAGTCTAGTTGTAGATGACTTCGGAAGTCAGCGCCTGCGTGCATCGTCATTCATATCGACATCCCCAGAGAATTGCGGTTGAAGAGAAGAGAAACGCTTCCAGAAGTGGTACAGTTAATCAATTTGTAAGCCGCATTTCCGACACCGGTCCACGCCAACAGGACACGTCGTACGTGTGCATTCATTACCGTTCGACATTATCCTACAGGACGTCCTCCTTCGATCCAATAGTTCGACGTAATTAAAACACTCTAATTGTCCTACCCGACGCTTTGTATAAATAGTTCGCGTTCTTCGCTTGTCCTCTTTAATTAAACGCCAGAATTAACTTTTTTCTCTTTTCAAAAATCAAGAATTTTAATCAACCTCATTTACATAACACTTTTACTCCGCTCGATGCACGGCCATCTATTACTATTTCGTGCATGTTTTAAACATTCGCTACACGAACTTCACCCATTCAGCGCAAGACCCGCCGCTACGCAAAAACCTACATTTTATGCACCCCCCTCGGGGCATGCACACGCGGAATCCGTGACGTCATCGACTCGTCTACGACAAATTACACTACGACCGCTCTGGAATATGACTTTTAAATCAACAAAATTGCAATTCAAACGTTCCGTGCTCGAACTTTACCCATTTAAATCCGCGGTCCCGTCGGTACGCAAGGGCCCGCTTTCATTCCGCCCGGCAACCAACACCACACATACGGACACATCCCTGGCGGGATATACAACCAAAAATACGCATAATCGACGGTTTGATTCGGTAAACACCGAGAGACCACCAGCTTCCCTCCGGTGAAGAAAAAAAGGATAATTATCATCTCCATTACACATTCCCTAAGAGTCGAGGAACGGTGTTGCATGTCAACGGCACACCCTTTCATCACGTTATTATAAATTCTATCAAAGGCAATTCGGATTAAAGTAAGAAGCCTTGATGGAGCAAACACGAAACGCAGCATCAAAAGATTTTTTAGTGCTTTTATGACTATAGTGGTGATAATACCCGGCGTTTCTTTGAGCTGCACACCTTTAAACGTCGCAATTTTGAAATAATGAACTTTCCGCGGATAAAAACATGTCGTAAGTTAACCGAAGTCAAAAATTTTCATTTAAACGGACGCGCACTGCATTGCTGTGATTTAATGCGCCACTTTTTTCACTCGTGATAATGTAGACGGTATCGGTATGGGAGTCTTTCGTTTCAATACCTGCGAGAAATAATATGGTAATTAAGCTATTGTTTAGTAGCTGTTTCGTTAAATTAATTTACTTGTCAATGTAAAATCCGACTTCATATACATAATGCTAACGTCACTTCCTGATATTCGGGGGAGTTTTGAAGTGAACGATTAATTCCTGACTCCATTCAAAATTCCATGGCAAAAATATCCGAGCCAAGAAACACTCAAACCGATTTACAAATGTCAGAATCAGGTAATATTTGTGAAACAGAGCATTCAACGAAACGTACGATTTCAGAATCGAATAATTTCGTCGATTCTTATTTTCGTTTCTTTATTTTGACAAGGGGAAAGTTATGGCTTTACGTTAAAAGCAAAATGCACTCAATCACGCCGACACATAAGCTAATCGTTATTATAATAACAAACTAATTGGTGTAAATTATGTACACAACAAAGCTACAGTTTCACTTTGTAATTATGTTTCACATATGAAACTATGATACCGATCGCACATTTCATCGATAATTGTCGACTATTAAGATTTACGGGCGCCGACCGCAAGACGCTCATTAGCAAAAGAAGGAGACGATCGAATACGCCGCGCCCGTCACAACTACCTAATCGACGTCTTAAATCGTTTTTCAATTAGTACGAAATACTGAGTTATTATAAATGTTTATTACATCGTAGTTGGCTTAACAAATCCATCGATTTGCCGCTTTCATTATAATGGTCGAAATTAGAAAACGTCAACAACTTATTAACATTTGACAATTTACACCTCACGGTTTCATTGTTCTTGTTGTCACGATACTTACTTGTTTTTAGTTTGTTAATTTCTTACCGTTTTCATCCATTATCATTCTTCATTAAGTAATTACGACGCTCTGAATTAGATAAAATGTTAGTTAAAGTGGCTAAATAACAACATTCTGTCTTGAGGCTATTTGTTGGAAGTGGGGTACATCAGCATTTATTTTATTACAGTGAGAATTAAATAGACACCCTCTTGTTTCAGCAAAGATAAAGTGGTATATTGTACGGAATAGGATATATTTATTGTAACGACCATAACGCAAAAATGAACAATAATGAGTAGAACTACTTCTTTGTCAAACATCCTCAACTTGAAGTCCAAAACACGACAAAGATATAGTGAAGAGATTTATTTGTAATGTAAACACAGTAGTGAGCATGTTGAGGCTTTTATTTCAAAAATGGTTGAATTTAGCTTTGTGCTATGTATAATCTATTCTTTTTCAATAAAATTTGTTTCGTGATACAATATTATTCCGCTAATCCGTCGACTCTTTGTATTTCATGTTCAAGGGTTCGCCGACTAGGACGACAAATTTTCAAATTGTTCTTCAAATGCGTCGTGTGTATGCAACCAAATAAACGTCAATTAAGTTCAAATGAAATAGGTACATGTACAGACGTAAGCGGCAAATTCCACAACCCACTACGATGTAAGCAAAATTTATAAAAACCGTGTGTTAAAACGACTACACTAAAAATTAGTGCAAGCCCTAGTCATATTAGCGAATATGGGGGCGATCGAATGTGCCGCACCCGTTGCGGATTTGAAACGTGAAAGAAAGTGATCCGTCGGCCAAAATGGTTACGCAAAAATACAAAAATGCGTAACGTACAGGCGAGCACAAGATATTATTGCGTATTTCGATAAGGGGCAAATCAAATTCTGGGATCAGTTGAAGTGGGTAAAGTTCGCGGTTACATTAACGCGGCGCGATGTGAGATATGTCGTGGTTGTTGCTTACAATGGCCGTCGAGTCAGTAAGTACAAAGAAATCACTTAATGTCGCCATTGCATGGGTGAGCCGCAATTTGGGGATCTCGGTTATTCTAATATTCGCATCGCAATCCCTCGAAGTTCGAGTTAAAAAGTGCTTTAAAAGCGAATTGATCTGGCGTGGGCGGCAATAAAGAGTGTCAATATTGGGTGGTCTATTGCCGGTTGTTAGAGATTCGGCCGGCGGAACGTCAGTACTATGTGCAGAAGCCGATAAAGTAATATTAATGAGTTTGGGGCCCTCGCGGTTGTAGCTGACATTCGGCGGAACGTCGCGTTTTAGCCAGGATTTGCAACGATACAATTCTGTACTTAGCAACATCTGCTACTTGCATTTTAAAAAGCAACGGGTTAATCAACGAACGCAAACGAATAAAACTGGCATTTTTCTTTTACATGTTCGGGGATGTGGTGTTTCGCTTTGAAACAAATTTGGGAAAACGAGATTTCGTTGTTCGGCGAAGTCGTTTAATTTTGTTTTAAAATTTAGCGAGTCGGCTTTTTACAGAGGGTGTTTTTTTAATATTCGATTACCTATAAAAGTTTCGATGGGGATTAGGTGTAAATACGGCGGAAAATGGTTCGGGTGGTCCTCTTGTTTTAATCAAGTGCAATCCTCGCAGCAATCTGCTCAATTACTGTTTTAACCCTCATGGGGCCAACTGAGCTAGTCGCTAAAACCATCAGCTCGCCCTTATTTTTCTAAAAACAACTCAATACCCTCGTTCTATTCTTTGCTCCTAGCACATGTTGGACGACACAAAGAGATATTTGTACTTTAAAAAGGACCGAGCACGATTGTATCAAAACAGCTCCCCGACAAAAAACTCTTTAAAATGGTAAAACATCGTCGAGGCGCTCTGGTGTGAAGGAAGTACACATTTCAATTTGAATGATTAATAAGTCGTCATGTGTGTTTCGAAGTTTTTTTCCCCCCAGACGACACCGCCGGCTTAAAAGGTCATTTGCTCTCGATTCCTGATTTAATCGCCCCAACATGTCAAAACTAACGCGTAGCGACAAATGTATATTTGTTACTTATTTTTAGCGCCGCACAATGCGCGCCGTTTATAAATAAAACCTTCAACTCATCACCCCATGCACAATTAAAGATATGAGAGCACCGTCGGCACCGTCGCCACATCGCCCGTCAAACGAGCCAAGAGCAACGGTGCGAACGGCCCTCCCTGCAGAAAGCCGACACTTACCAATCGGCGTTGGTGCACAGCGGAGATGCGTTCGACGTTGTCAGGTGTGCGAGGGCCCGGCGCGCAGTTCAGTACGTGCTCTTCTCGTGACCACGCGGTATCAGCGACTGCTGCTCCAAACTTGAGCGAGCGCCGAGCGTATGGGCGACTCCTGAGCGTCGGCGGCGATCGGCGCTCCTCGGCGTCCCGCGCACTGCTCTAGCGCCGCCCGGCGCCTATTTGTGCCCCTTAAAAAAGGCGACAAACTCATGTGCGTCTCGTTAAGGTCTCATTAACCTAGACTGGCCTTCGCCGGCCCGCGAACGATGCCTTCTTCCGCCGATCCTTCCGATCATTTATTCGCGACACTTCTCCGCCGCACCGAACGCGGACACCCAGGAGATTAAAACGCGCGTACGCGCGCCGGCCAACCCGGAAAATTACCCGGACACTCACACGAGTGCGAAAGCCGCCCCTTCAACAACGGGATTTGTACATACCGACTGCTTTAGCCAGCCTCGCCTAAATTATATTTTATTGTTACTTTTTTTTTTAATAACAGAGATCAGTATAACAGTACAGTCAGTTACTTTCTAGAAATTAAAGAAATGCGCTGTACTGATGAGACCCAGGGAGGTCTAAACTGCGGACTACAGCTTTTCATTGAATTGTAGCCTTTCGAGTCGGAAATTCTTGAGCGGAACTGACGTAATCGGGGCGCCGCTCGTCCGGGTTCGGTTATTATTCTTATTACAACTACCTGAAGCCCTCGTCGCGCTCATCCCAGGCCTTAAATCAGATTAATAGTCAAGGCCGTCAGCCGGCTTTTAACGTGGAGACGTAAAGCTAATAGCCAGGTAGAAGCATCTGGAAATGCAAAGATATGACCGGATGTGACGGCCGTGCATCGCATTGAGACTTTGTGACCGTCATGACAATGCCGGCAAGGACGAGACGAGGGAGTTAAAGGATGGAGCAGGTACGGACCGGCCCGTGTAAGTCCATCGTTCAACACCCCGAACACTTCCGCTTATTCATGGATGTAATTATTTACCGCCCACCTGCTGGTCTCGACGAGGCAAAAACGAGGGATCAAGAAAAGGATTCTTTATACGAAAAATTACCCACCGATAAGTTGGAGATTTATGCTGAGAGAGGGTAGATCATATAAAAAAGTGTGTCTGTGAGATGTGTTAAGCCAACATCTTTCAGGCTTTTCAATGAAATGAATAGACTTGTATGTCGGACGGACGCAAAAAATAAACATAAGGAGAAGGGTGGGAAAATATGAACAGGATGGGGGCGGGAAAAAAAGTCTCGTCGGGGGGTGCAAGTAATATTTCTGGGATAATAACAGACACATGTGAACGAGTTTGCGAATGACGTGTGATCTTATTGTCTAAAACGTCAACATAACTTTTTTACGAACATGGACCAATGGATTCCATTTTGATATAAACATTGCGCCTTTAATAACAAGCCTAACCAATGAGTGGAAACCGCTACTTCTCGGACAAGAGCCCCGCTGGAAGCTGGATTACACCTACCATTACTGGCGTCACCTCGTTATGAATGCAAAACTTGAATTTATACCCCTAAAGAGTGTTAGTATGATTGTCTTAACCATAAAAGATTAAATATATTTTTCACAGTTTTTTAGATTGTGCTCGTTTAGTGACCAGAACACACCAGATTTAGTAGGAAATTTAAAAATATATTTGATACAATTTTACTTTGTAACTAACACTTTTTTACCATAAAATTGCAATAATTCACATCTTCGTGGACATTCACTGAAGTTGTATCATAAAAAGTATAAGATAGAACAATTTAGATACGGATCTCATCGAATCAAGTATACTAAACTCACTTGACCTACACCTTGTAAAAGTTTTATGACTTAAGCGACTTAAGCCAAACTTCTAAGTCAAACTGACGATTGTAAGTCAACTGAGTTAAGATATAATCAATAGCGAATTTGATTTATAAGGATGATTTGGCTTAAGCTGCTTAAGTCATAAAAGTTTTACAAGGTGTATATCAAGTGAGTTTAGTATAATAATGCCCTCTTTAAAAATTAATTATATACAGTAATGTTCGATTATAACGAACCTCATGGGACTGGGAAAAGTAGTTCGTTATATCCGAAGTTCGTTATAAATTATAAAAAAATCAATACATACTTTCATAAACTGAACTATGTATTTCAGGATGCAACATTTAAAAGCATTACAAAAATATAAACATGTAAAGATAATAATACAGTAGTACATATAAGAAAAAAAAACTTGATTAATAAAAAGTTGATTAAAAATAAAAGTTGTTACTTAAAATAATCTCAAATTTTACGTTGTTTCTTGTGAGAAAGATTAATTTAAGAGGGTTTTGGGATCGTTCCCTCTTTTTCTTCTTCTTCTTCGTTATCATCATCATCTTCAGTCTCATCTTCTGTTTGAATGTTGCATTGAACTAATTCTACAATAGTAGCATCATCCAAAATTTCAGACTTCACTAAAATATCGTCAAAATGGACGTATTCTTCGAAGTCGATATCAAATTCATAGTCAGAATGCTTTCTCACCCATTCAACCAATAGTAGTTCGTCTTCTGGGGTGGGATTTTGTTTCTATAATGATAAAATATCGGTACCGATAAAATGTGGTCGTCTTTTTCTTTCGCATCTGAAATTTATATTTTCGTCCTTGTCATTTATCGCTTCGTATCGTATCGTATCGGTAGAAACAAAATCCCACCCCTGGTTCAAATTTTTCCTCACACTGGAGAAACCCAGCATGTCGAAAACAATTAGCAATTGTTTGTTCTGATACTTTTTGCCATGCCATACTGATAAAATTGACGGGATCTAATAGATTCACACAAAAGTGTTCATGACCATTGTCGAGATAAAGCTGACTGGTGAAAAAGTTCGTTATAAACGATTTTTTTTTTCTTAAATATTAAAAATTTAGTTCGTTTTAACCGAAAGTTCGCTATAAGCGAGTTCGTTATAATCGGAAAAAAATAACACGTATCTTATGGTACTTCAGTTCGTACTTTTACTTTGCAAGTTGGTTCGTTATATCAGGAAGTTCGCTTTAACCGGGTTCGCTATAAGTGATCATTACTGTACTTTCAAGGCTATAATAATAATAATAACCAAATTGTAAACGGTGCGTACAATAGTGTTTACATGATTGCACTTTATCTCACATATTACCACTACCAACCTTTTCGGAGTAGGCAAAACCAGCATAAAACCCAAGAGTTTTATGGTATATGTTAAGAAAAAATTAATTTTCCGAAGTAATAAAAGCTACATTAAATAAATTTTCGCTGCGAAATGATATCATATAAAGTCGCGATCTTTTCTATAGAACCACTCCCTAGTGTAAATTTTCAAAATTTGTTTGGTGTAAGTGACCTTGACGGGTTTCTGGGGGAAAACATATGTGTCAAAAATTTGACAGGTTAGATGGCCCCATTGTCAATGTAGATATTTTATTTTAATAAATAGATGAACAGAACATACAGTCTGCACGGGATACAGTGCGGCATAGCTGAGGGCAACCGAAATATTCGTGTTGTGCTAGTTTCGATTGCCATGTCAACTACCGCTACCAACCGCGTTCGGCGTAAAGTACTAGGTGACAGGGCTACCAACTTGACTTTTTATCGAGTGGTTCCGTAGAAATGACCGCTACTGTAGTAACATTAATCGGCACACTACTTTGACGCAAATTTTTATTAATGTGTGTCATGTGCAAGCCACCGACTTAATGAGTCACTTCATGTTGTGTCTCCATTATATCTTATATCTTAGTCAACTACATGGAATACATTTACATTAAAACGCACGCCGTACCCAAACATAAATTTAGTGCCTTTCAAACAACACCGTCTTAAGAATAATAATAGTAATAAGTTTGTCAAGTCGCATCAGAGAATCTAGCCGTCACCATTGGAACATAAACATCACTTGAAACTCCTGCTTCCGCAGTTAATACGAAGAAAATAAAGAAATATTACCACCGACTAATAAAAGAGGATACGGCTATAAATAATTTGAAAGATAAAATCGTAAATAAAAGAGTTTATGAACATACACGCGACTGTACATAACTACCACGCATAACTGAGAAAATAAAGAAGCAGTTAGAGATATAAAGAACAACATATCGCCCCGCCCGAATCATATTTCTACGGAATTTATTGTATATGGAGCTGCAACATTACGCAAGTCTATTCCGCAAAATATTAAGATTTTTCTAGCGGACAGCGAAACCGGTCCACAGCCCGGTATATTTTTCACGTCGGATTCGCGCAGTCCGGTCCTGGTGGGGCTTCGTCGAAGTGGCGTACGTGCTTAGCGCCCCAGGTAGCCGGCGTTTAACATGCAAACGAGTGCATCGACTTCTTCTCCTCGGTGGTGTTTATCAAACCCAGTGGCCCGCGAGATCCGCCAAATACCTGACCAGAAAAGCGAAATTAGACGGAAACCACGATGGTCAACGCTTATTGGCGCTAGGGAGACCGACCGTTTGTCTAATGTAATGATGGAGGTTCTTGTCAAGCATACCGAATGAAGGTCCCTACACACGAGTACACATGTAGGTAGACCCGTGGAATCTGCAACGGGCGTGTCGCTGTTCACCAGATTTCCTAGTCCGGTCTAATTATTGCCCCCACAGCACCGCCTTTAACGACTTACTGATTTTATGCAACATACAACTACCCCATAAAACATAAGATAAAGTACACGGAAACTTACAACCCTCATAAATTTAATGTCTATTACCACGCCCAGCATAAATAAAATTGTTTTATTTTCAACGACAATTTGCGCAAATTACTCGCAGGAAAAACTAATCCGCGTAAACACGCGGTTTTGACACGTCGGGGCTTTCGAAAATGACAGGGGTTCAACCAGTTTTTTAACAAGTGTTCATGCGGTGCATCACAAAACTTGGTTTAACGAAAACAAAATTCTGCACCTGCTACTCCATCACGAACTTACTGCATAAACTTCGTAGATAATTAGTAAATAAAGTTCTAACCGAACTTTGATTAATTTCAAGTTTTCTCGACGTTTTATAACCCATAGACTATGAAAAAGTGGGTTCGTGTTTCCGTCTGTCTGTCGCCTGTCGTC